CACTATGTTGTATACCTGAAACTAATATACTATGTTATGTCAACTATACTTCAGTTTCATCAATCAATAAAATCTACAAACCACACACACACACGCACACACGCACACACACACGCACGCGCATTTTTCACAGAAAGACCTGAATTTGAACAAAGAAAAAGCAGACATTGGGATGCTTGTGACACACGAACACACAAACTGTACTGAAAAGATGGCCCCTGCACTCTTTCTAGTCTTATCTGGCTGTCTGAAATATGGCCATTTAATTATACAAAACAATTTTGTATGGCTCAGTGTTATATGAAAGCTTGCTTGTGCAAATTCCTTAATTTGTATATTAGAATGGCATTTATTCATGAAAATAAAAATGTTTCCATGTGTCAAAAACAAACAAACAAACAAACAAACAAATGATTGGGAGGGTCAGAAGAGAAACAGGCGGTTTTTGTGGTGGTGGTAATGTAGAGGAGGGGTTGCCAGGCAGGGAGTAAGGTATTGATTCTTGGCATGTTGAGTTTTAGGCATATTTGAGAATTTGTGATTTGTAAATGTTCACCAAAAATTAGGTGAAAATGTTCAACAGTAACTTAGAAATATGCAACTACAAGTAGTCTGTGTGAGAGAACTTGAAGTCAAAGATTTGTGCTAGGGTGGTGAGCCTCTGAGAGTGGATGAAATGACCTTGGTAGCACATATAGAAGGGAATGGTGTTTGGGAGACACACATATTTAAAAAAAATTTTGTTTAATGTTTATACTTTGAGACAGGGAGAGACAGAGCACAAGCAGGGGAGGGGCAGAGAGAGAGGGAGACAGAATCCAAAGCAGGCTCCAGGCTCTGAGCTGTCAGCACAGAGCCCAGTATGGCTCTAACTCACGAACCATAAGATCATGACCTGAGCTGAAATCAGATGCTTAACTGACTGAGCCACCCATGCGCCCCTGGGGGCACACATATTTAAGGGACAGGCAGAAGAAGTGGAGACTGAGAAGTGTGATTATAGGGAATCAAGAGGAAATAGTATCATGGAAGTCAGGAGAGACAGAAGTGTGATGGTTGGCAGTGTCATATGCTATAGAAAGGCCACCTGAGATGAAGGCTAAGGTGAGCCCACTGTCTTGGGCCTGGGGAAGCCACTGGTGACCAGTTCCTTTGCAGGGGAATGTGATCATATTGTACTGGGCTGTGAAGTTTCACAAAAATGTCTGTGAATATACTGTTGACTTCTCTTTCAAAAAGTTGATAGGGAAGACAAGCGAGGAGAGACTTTTGGATTAGAATTGAGCATGTTGGTGAGAAAGAAGAAAGGATCGATCTAGATGGAACAGAGGAAGGGGAGAATTGATGGACTAAAGTCCCAGAAGGTGGAGTGGGGTCCTGAGCATGGCAAAGAAGTATACATCTGACTATAAAGGTAAAGGTGCCCGAAAAGAAGTTTCAAGACCCTGAGGTCAGAGTTTGGGGAATTCATGCTTGATGGAACCTTAATACCTCAGTAGTTAGAAGAGGCCAGTTCCTCTGCAGGGACTAAGAGGTAGAAAGGAATGAGGAAGAGAAGTGACTTGAGTGGTGACACAGAGGTTGGAAGCACTTTATGGAGAGTGTAGAGTTAAGTAAAGGGACTAAAGCAAACTTGAGAATTCAGCAGAAGCCCAGCTCTCTTTAAATTATAGTTGTGCCTGCCATTTCCCTTAATATCTGTATGGGTGAGGAGGGGCGCCTGGCTGGCTCAGTCAGTTAAATGTCCAACTTCGGCTCAGGTCATGATCTCACAGTTTGTGGGTCCGAGCCCTGCGTTCGGCTCTGTGCTGACAGCCCAGAGCCTGGAACCTGCTTCAGATTCTCTCTCAGCCCCTCCCCTGCTCATGCTCTGACCTTCCTTCTCTCAAAAATAAACATTTAAAAAAATATATGTGGGTGAGGAATAGTTATTTATTGAGTTCTTAATATGGCAGGGGGAGATTCTTACTGTGTGTCGTAACAGCTTCCTAGCAGAAAGGAGGTCCTGTCGTCGTCCCCAGGTTTGTAGAGCTAGACCTGAGGCATAGAGGTCAATAACAGGAAAGCCCATGCAGGTGTTAAGTGGCAGAGGCAGGCTCTGGAGCCCCGGCAGCCTGTCTGCAGAGCACAGCACCCACCTGCTGTGTATGTGACGTGCCTGGGAAGGCTGGTGTGATGAGCTTTTGGAGGTAGGCAACAAGGGTGGGATGGGTGAAGTGGCGAGAGACCTGAGGGCGCTGATAGGTCTTCTGAAGCCAACCAAGGTCAGGGAGGTAGGAACGGAAGTAATCAAAGTCTGAAGGCTGATACTGAGGGACTTGAGAGCCAGGAGGTCAAAGAATGGCTTTAGGTGGAAATGGGCAAAGTGAAACGTGGGATGCTAAGGGTTGTGATGACAGAGGTCATTTGAGTGATCCCAAGGCCACCGTATAGTCGAAGAGGTGAATGGCTGAGGGTAACGGGAAGTCCTTGGAGTAGAGGAGACTGTAGGATGGAAGATCTGGATTAGAACAAAAGATTTTGACTTGACTGCTTCAGTGACGCTTTTCCCATTTGTGATATTTTATTAATTTGACCATTGCTGCCTAAATAGTTTCTCTTTTAATTGCCTTGAATAATTGAGCTTCTCTCTTGTCACCCTACGTACACTTAGAAATTGTAACATACCTCTTATCCTACCAATTACTCCTACTTGATCTTTTGATCTCTCTTAGTAAAATATTTGAAGGTTTTCTTAACTGTTAAGCTTTAGCTACCGAGGCTGAGCAGTTTCTAGCTTAGTCATAACTAATTCAGCCAAGTTAAATATTAAGATACATGGACATATTTTACTATAGTTACAACCTAATCTCTAAAATAATGAGGTAAAATTAGGCAAGATCTTTTTTTTAAGGAGAAAAAAGCAGAATAGAGAAAGTACTGCAATTTTAAAAAGAAGCTTCATTTAAGAATAATTTTAGGGGTGCCTGGGTGGCTCATTTGGTTAAGCGTCCGACTTCAGCTCAGGTCGTGATCTCACGGTTCATGAGTTCGAGCTCCATGTCGGGCTCTGTGCTGACAACTCAGAGCCCTGGAGCCTGCTTCAGATTCTGTGTCTCCCCCTCTCTCTGCCCCTCCCCTGTTCGTGCTCGGTCTCTCAAAAATGAACAAACATTGAAAAAAATTAAAATAAAAAAATAATTTTAGACGTCTCCAAAAGTTGCAAGGAAGTTACAGAAGGTTCCCAAAGATTCCTCTCTGTTGTGATGGTTTCTCAGACTTTGGTTGTTTTTTGAGGAGTCCCGGTCAGGTGTTTTGCAGAGTAGTTCTCAATTTGGATTTGTCTCATGTTTTCCTCATCATTAGACTCAGGTTATGGGTTTTTGGAGGAAGACAGTGGAAGTAAAGTGCCATTCTCACGACAGCGTGCCAGGCCTGAACACTATAAACATGACTTACACTGTTGATGTTCACCTTGCTCACCTGGCTGAGGTAGAGTTTGTCACATTTCTGTTTTAAAGTTACTCTTACTACATCACCTGTCTTCTATACTGAACTCTGGAAGGGAGTCCCTGTGAATAGCAGTGGGGAGTTATGTTTCAACTCGTTGAGATTACAATATCTACGTAAATCATTTGTAATTATTCTGTACAGGATATTTATCTTTTCTCCTCCAATCATTAATTCCTTCATTTGTTTATATTACTATGGATCCATGAATATTTATTTTATACATCAGGTTTTTTTTTAAATCCAATACCACATTATTTATTCATTGTTTACTTTGTTCAGAATGTTACAGCTTTTGCCATTGAATTCTTTCACTTGGCTTCTGTGGCCCTTTGATATAACCTTATCATTTTGCTTTTGAGCACTTTCTTACTTTCTGGTAGTAAAAAATATTCTAGATCCATATTGTATGTATGTTTGCATTCATTTTTTTGTGTGGACATAAATCAGTTGGGAAAAGTACCTAAGAGTGTGATTGCTGGGTTGTATGCTATGAATATGTTTAGCATTGTAACTGCCATATTGTTTTCCGAAGTGGCTTTACCATTTTGTTCTCACCAGCAATGCTTGAGGGTTCCTGTTGTTCCATATCCTTGCCAGCAATCGGGATTTTCAGATTTTGGGATCTTAATTATGTTTATAAATATGCAGTAGTATCTCATTGTTTTAATTTACAGTTTTCTAATGACCAATGATGTTGAACATCTTATCATATTCTTATTTTCCTTTTGTGTATCTTCCCTGATGAGGTGTTTAAGGTCTTTGGCCCATGTTTTAATTGGGTTGTTGCCTTATGGTTGAGTTGTAAGTGTTCTTTTCATACATTGGGTATATTATCCTGTATGTATTTTGAAATATTCTCTTCCAGTGTGTTGGGTGTCTATTTTAACAGTGACTTTCACAGAGCAAGTTTTTAACTTTAGTAAAGTCCAACTTATCAACATTTTTTTTCTACGGTTTATGCTTTTGGTGTTATATCTAAAGTACTATCGCCAAACCTCAGATCATGCAGATTTTTTTCTGGGTTTTCTTCTAGAAGTTTCATAGTTTTTCATTTTACATTTATGTCTGTGGTTCATTTTGAGTTATTTTTTGTGCAAAGTGTGAGGTCTCTGTGTAGGTTCATCTTTCTGCATCTGAACATCCATTTGTTCCAGCCGTTTGTTGGAAAATGATGCTTTCTCCATTGAATTACCTTTACACCATAGCCAAAAGTCAGCTCAGTATATTTCTGAGGGTCTATTTCCAAGCTAACACTGTTGATCTTTCACCAATGCCATGCTGTCTTGATAACTGTAGCTTTATATAGCAAGTCAATCTTGAAAGTGGGTAGTATGAGTCTGCCAACTTTCTTCCTTTTCGGTATTGTGTTGGCTATTCTAGGCCCTTTGCCTCTCCATAGAAATCTTAGGGGGGCTGTTCACTGAATTTTAAAAACTGGAAACTAAAATTAAAATGGTTAATCCTCAGCGATGCAGAGTAAATGTGATGCTTTTAAAAATTTTTTCCAGGTGGTTCTTTGAAGCTCTGAAGTATCCTAAGTTTTCCAAGGCTAACGTCATCAATGGAATTCTCATGACAGTGGTGTTCTTCATCGTGCGGATTGTCTCGATGCCTCCTTTTTATAGCTACATTTATTCTGTGTTAGGAACAGAAGCCTACATAAGGCTTGGATTTTTAACCCAATGCTCCTGGATCTCTACTTGTATTGTTTTGGATGTGATGAATGTCATGTGGATGATCAAAATTACAAAAGGTTGCGTCAAAGTCATCTCTCTCATCAGACAAGAGAAAGCCAAAAGTAGTCTTCAGAATGGAAAACTTGACTAAAAGTTGGCTATTGATAAGCATACTTTATTACTACCCGCATTATATCTACTGATAGGATGAATTCTCGGCATGTTCTTGTGCTTCTTATTAATTATACTTGTTATCGAGGGTTTCAGTGCTTTCTTTTTTTTTTAACCTTTAGAAAAGAGAAACTAAAACTTAGCTCTTAGTCCAAAATTTCGTTTCTGATTTTCTTCTGCATTATAAGCATGGATAAAATCTTAAAGGTTCAAATAAAAAAATTATAAATATAGTGGAGAATCGTTCCAGAAATCTGTTAACCCGCATTGGTATTTTTCTCTGTGAAAAGATGACTATTCTAATTTGATGTGCTTGTTTTGTGTCACCAGGTTTTCTGAAAGAATGGAAACTGCTTTTAAATTTGTAAATAGCTCTCAACCTTTCGTTGTACTGTGCTCATTTTGTGCTATGGCTGTCAATACCTGTGGAGGGTTTAATTTCTGAATTGTTGAGCTGTTCTTTTTCTTAGGCTGTTAGTAATAATGTATTTTTTTGTTTATATATTCTATCATCTATTAGTGGTGAAGTATTTTGCTTGCTTTGGGAATATTTAGTTAGTTCAGTCATGGAAAATACTTCTTTCATTTTTCGATTTTTCAGACCTCACTTTATTATTTCTATTTTTAACATTTTATCAAAGTACTGCTTTTTTATTTGTAGTAAGGCTTAAGACAGATCTTTCAGAGCTCCTTGAGAGATGAATTCCTCTTTCTAAAAATGCATGTTGTAGATGACTATTTAGGCTAATAAGAGGAATCATTAAGAAAAAAGCTTTAACACTGCTGTCTCGGTTTCCCTGGCACTTTTTCCATGAAAAAAAAAATATGATTTCTATTTGCAAAACCTCCCCTAAGTTCAGAACCCAACATCATCAGCACCAAAGTGTTATGCAGTATGTATATATCATGCTCCTAAGGTAGGCCTCTCCTTGATGAGGCCAAAACTCTAAAAAATCAGTATTCACATTTTACTCACAGTTCACACCCATGCTTGCTTAGTCAATATTTTGAGTGCTTTGACTTTCTATCTTTCCTAAAGTACAGGGAAAAAAAAATAGATAATTTAATCCAAGTATTCTGATCATCAATATTCTTGTCTTATGCGATAATACATGACTAGGGACTCTGGTTTTTTGATTTTTGGGTTTTGTGTGTGTGTGTGTGTGTGTGTGTGTGTGTGTGTGTGTGTGTGTGTGTGTAAGTATATGTTTGCTTTTTCTTTGATTCTTGCAACCCAAATATAGAATTATATAGTTATCTATTATTGCCTTTATTTTTCTCAAGTACTTGACTTTAATGATTGTTCTTACGTAAGAAAAAAAGAAATTTAACCAGTGACAGATACTTGAATTTAATTGAACCCAAACCAAAAGATCGAATCCACTCAGTTTCTCAGTTGATAGAAGAATGATTCTCTTTCATCGTTCATGTTATGATGAATCAACTTTGATTTAATTTGACTTGATTTGATTTGATGTGATCTGGCTGTCTAATGCAGATAGAGCCTGATAAGTTTTAGACCATTTAAAGAAGGTAATTGAAATCTCAGTCGGTGAGAAAATCAAATTGATCAGCTTATACTAGGCATACTTATTTTTGAATGACTTAAAGTAATGTAAAGTATAGGTATTTGCTTTTAAAGCTACTGATATTACATTGATAATTTGTTACCAAATCTTGTGCCTTCCACATCATAGGCACTTAAATGTGTATTGGTGGTTTAGAGAGGGTAGGAAAGCACATGGTTTTATCTTGTTCTTTTCTTGCTCTTTTGCAAGAAAACTGACTTTTTAAAAGGAACACATTTATATTAGAAAACTATTTTGGAAATCAATTCCTTTAGAAAGAAGCAAAACTTGAAATAAATATTTTTGACTCTTTGGATATTTCTATAGTTTCTGAACAGATTTTAAACCCACCACAAAATGAAGTCAGTATAAAGCAATATATTGCAATGTATTGTAATATAAAATTCACTGCTCAGTGAGTTTCCATATAGTAGTTTGGGTTTTTATGCTTGCTACTTCATGCTTAAAACTTCATTTTTACTTTCATTGACAGTACTTTTCATCAGTATAGCTGCTCAGTGAGCAAGTGTGTTTAAAATAGCAATGCTTTGAACTAAAGTTTGTCATTCCCTTGGTCAGCAATTCTTATTTTATGCTGCTGCATGACAGCTAATTCAACATCCAGATTCAATACCCAAAAGTAGAAGCTCCATGTTTCCTCTCACAACGCACATGAAATGGAAGAGACACTGCAAACTGCCGTGCTACTTTAAATCAGATTTTCATAGGAACTATACTTCGCTCTTCTAGGATTGTGTCCACCTACCTAAGATACAAGGCGTTAAAGACAGAACATATCATTTATTAAACGATGAATTTTTCATTTATTAAATGACAAACTTTTGCTAGACATTTTACATATTAAATATTTTGACTACATGGATTAATTTAAATGATTCTATTAGGTGTTCTGATATTTAACAACTCTATTAAAATATTTGTAGAACATAAAAGCAAATTGGTATAAATTTTTAAGCAACTCTATTTTTATAGAAAAAGATTAGTGACAACCTGTAACTATAAAGATGTTCTTTGAACATGTAGTAGTCTAAAAAAATAAACGATTCTTACAAAATTTTAGAAATGAATGAAAATCAGCATGCAAGATCATAGATTCTGCATCTGACATTTGGGAGAATTTAAAAATTATGAGTTTGAGTTCATAGAGTTTGCATTCTTGTGTCGAAAATCTTTCTAGTGAGTATTGTTTGCATTTATTTAAAACTCAAAATGGAGTTACCTATGAGTAAAAAAAAAATTAACTCCTGCATAAGTTGTGTCTTGATACCTTATAGTGAGTTAAGATGCAATTTTTATTCCACCTGTTTTATTCCACCTGTTTAGTTTTGTTGTTTCATGGGCTAGCACTGTGTTAAGAGAAATAATAATGTCTTCACCATTCCTAAGGGTGACTGATATACCGTGGATGCCCCAGTACTATTGTAAAGATCTAGTTTTAAAAACTGCCTAGTATATGGGTGTTTGAATCAAATCCTTTTCTAAATTTTAACCTACTTGATTCAATCTTTTGCTAAACTATCAGTTTTTAAATTGGATACTTTCTTTGAGGTGTATCCGGTGTTTGGAGAACCGTCCCTTCACTGGCATGAAGGGTCAGCTTTATGCGTTACACCATTTGTCATCCTGGGTTAGAAACAGTCTTATGGAGATGTCTAGGGGAGAGTTGTAATATTCATGTTCTGTTTTGCTTTTGAGGGAAATAAACATGTTCCAAAAGACACTATTAAAATAAACGTTTGAACAAATTTCTGTTTCTAGGTTACTCTTAACTCCAATACATAAATATACATATGAACTGGCTTATCAGTGGTTTACTCTGTTGCTTGAAATGGAAAAGTCCATGTCATTGTTGACATCATCACTTATATTCGTGGAAGACTATGCATTTATATGTTTTGAATTCCAGAAGAAGCAAACTCGTAGAATTTTATCAGAAATGTGGCACAGTGTTTCTCCGCAGTTATGAACCAGCACAGCAGTGAGACCCCTCCTGTGTCTGGAGACCGTGGGCACACGCACAAACCGCCCAGCCTTACCCACAGCTGGTTGACGACAGGCACACTAAAGCTACCGAAAGTGAGTTTTGACACGAAACATACGTAGTACGTGTGAGAACAGTGGGAAGCCAGCAGGACCTGGAGTTGTAGACACCACGACTGATTTTCCCTTAAAAGTCATGATGCTCCTCCATCATGTAGAAGTTTCTCTCTGAATCCTCCCAGCCCTTCCATCTCCTCCTCTTAACACCCTGACGATTTTATCGGCACCTCCATCTCTTATGCCAACACCTTTCAATGTCAACTCTAGAGACTTCCCCATGCCCTTAAGCTTCCCAGCCTATTGTGGCAAATTTCAAAGTATTCAAATATGTTCTTCCGGGGCGGGGGGGTGGGGGGGAAGCATTACAGTAAGTTTAAGTGGGAATCAGACAAACCATAATTGCTAAGAGGCTTTGGGAAGCCATTTAGTACTTAATAACACTTGTTACAAGATGAGACAAGGCTAATGAGACTATAGTTTTATTGAGAAACATCTGTAGTCTCTTTCTTAAACTGGCTCAGCAGGAAGAGCTTTAGAATATGTTTCAGCTGGGGAGTCATTGCAGGCATGCACATTATCTAAATGCTCTTCCTTAGACCCTATGACTGGAAGAGGAGGAACTGAGGTGTCTGTGGCAGCGTTACTGAGTCCTGCTCTTTAGTTGACCAAATTTAGTTATGGTCGTGTATCCTTTAAAAACAAGCCGACCAGCAAGTGGATTACTCAGCATATTTTACAAGTGCAACACCCAAGGACTTGAGCCCTGTCCCTTTCCAGCCTAGACTTCCAACTGCCTCTATATAGCCTTGGTAGTAAGTTGTACCTTTATTTGAAGATATTTTGGATAACAATGAAGAACTGAAGGCTAGCTGCTAAAGATTGGGTTGTTTGCATTGAAAATGTTTACACTGATTCCCTTGAGCAGTAGACGGTTTTGATATCAGGCCCTATATATAAGACCAAAAACAATGAGAAATATTTCTAAATCTTAAAGATAGAAATACAATACCTCTGGCTAAAAACTCGTTAATTATCATCTGTATATGTTTTTCTTTGTATCTTTACATAATTCTTTCTGTAATTAAGCGCGTGTTAGGTGTTTGCTGCTTCTTGGTTAATAAAGCCTGAAAATATAACTGTAAATAAAATATGCTATATTTTTTCTGTTTCTTGCTTGGTTTGCTTCTAGTGTGGTCATATCTGCTTTTTACTTAAGGAATTTTTGCATAGATAATATTCTCTTACTGACTTGTAACTAGGATGGTTATGAGGTTTTTCTGGTAATTATTAGAATTTGTAAAAATAACCTTTAGACATAGATTTCATTTGAAAAAGTTACTCGAAAATTGCA